TATCTATCTATCTATCTATCTATCTATCTATCTATCTATCTATCTATCTATCTATCTATCTATCTATTACCAGGTGTGCTAGCTAGGTAGCCACTAGTTAGGTAGCTAACATACCTACTGGTACTTAGTTAGGCTTGTTTGACGTGTTTTCTTTCAGAAGTTGTCTGAATTGTGGATGGAAAGAATATTTAACTTATGTAAAGTTACCATAACAGGTGATGTTCCTAGAAACGGCAAGACCAACAGAAACAAATGTTTTGGTTGTTTTTTTAATCAACTTCCATTTGCCTCTTTCTGAACAACTGGGATAAATCATGTACATTTCACTGTGCATTTACATAGACATTCCCTAGAATATGGATGTGAATCCYATGTTTTGCTAAGTCAACATATTTATTTAGGCATTGTGATGTCTGTAAGAGAAAAGAGTCCAGCTMTCATTGTTAAGCAAATTTAAATAAGTAAAATAAGTCAAAAATATGAATTTATTTGGATTATTTTCATGTTTGGTGTAAAACTAGCACCTGTTAACAGCATATAACGTTTAGATTTAAATTAATTTGTTACCAATAAGTAATATAGATCAACAAACATGGTTTTATTATGCTAAATTTTGCAGAGCTGTGTCAAAAATGCTGTAATGTATTTTTAAAGTTTAAACTTACCTAATTATACCCTATACTCTAAATGTGAATGCAGTGTTTAGCTGCATCAAAATTTTGTAAGATGACAAGCATATTTTAAGATCTGTTTGTATCCCCTCCCTTTTAGGGCAGGAAGAATCGGTGGCCACCTTCAAAGGCAATGAGTTCTTCAGCTACAACCTTTCTCAGACCCCCATTCAGAGCAGTTTGGATGAAATCACGCTGTCCTTCAGGACCCTGCAGAGGAATGGCCTGCTGCTTCACACAGGAAAGTCAGCTGACTATGTCAATCTGTCCCTGAGGAATGGAGCTCTGTGGCTGGTCATTAACCTGGGCTCTGGCGCTTTTGAAGCCCTGGTGGAGCCTGCCAGTGGAAAATTTAATGACAATGTCTGGCATGATGTGCGAGTGACACGCAACCTCCGCCAGGTTGGTATAAATCTGTTTTCTTTGCTTTCCATACCTGCTGAAACTTGCACTTTTGTGTGAAAAGGTTAGTTTTAGGCATACTTGTATGATTTGTGTTGATAAAAGTGCTGACATGAAAATAAATAAGAGAGAATATGACAGTTTCATATGCACCTTGTAGGTATACCTAGTTATAAATTAAAAAAATAATAATAAAAACTATGTATGTATGTATATATATATATATATATATATATATATATATATATATATATATATATATATATATATATATATATATATAGTAAACTGCCTGACCAACGGGGGCCAATTGGGGAGGCCATATACTTTTTTAGGAGTTGCTATTGCCCCCCTTGGCCCCCCTTCCTAGTGGTGCCCCTGTTTGATTGGAAATTTACCATTTTTTACTGCAGTGTAGCTTTTTTAAATGTAATCAAAGTGATGTTTGTCTTTCTATTGAATTTTTATATTTTCACAAAATCATCTTAAGCAAAAAGCTAAAAAAATGTAGTTGCAGTAAATGTTGCAACATTTCAGCAGCATGTTGATGTTTGTAAAAGAGGAAGCAGAGGTTTTAAAATGACTAAAGCTTCTCCTTGGGTTCAACGCTGTATTGCTCCACTTACTGTGTTGCAGCCAAGAACTACTCAGCCCTAAAATTGCATATCACTGAGATGGACAAGGTGCCGAATTCCCAAAATAATTTACTGCCATGATGTGTCTGTTCAGAGTTACCCTGCTGGCATTCCTCTCTGACTTGCAATCATTTTAAAACTAGTRCCATTTCACAGTGACGTACAAACAKATAAAAAAACTGATTTATTGCAAACTGCTGTGCTACTAGATGGTTGACAAAACTGCACATAATTAGTCTTCTTTTCAGTAAATGTTGTTATTAAGTGTCATCATTCTTGTCAATCCCGTTTACACTAATTGTATCTAACAAGCAGTAAAAATAAATTAATATTGTAATTAAAACATCCTCTCTGCTTGACAAGGTGTTTATTAGTATTGATTGATGATCCAAGTGTTAGCCACCACCACTGTCTTGATACTCAGTAGAGTTCATTCATTCTTGTTATATCTGGCATGTTCAAAGAGGAAAACAATAAGAYCATTCATTTTTGTTCGTGCGTCTTCCAAAATAAAATTAAATTCTTTAGTTTTTATTATTTTTATTAYTCACAACTCAAGTTATTGGCCAGGCCTAAAGGCTGCTACATACAAAATGAAAAACATATTTTCTTGCTCTCATGGTTGTGAAATTTCTTTTTTTTCCCACATTTTATACTGCAAAGAGACACTGMAGTGAGAACTCTTTCCAACTGCAGCACATTGACAAAGTTCTGTCAACCAAGAAGCATTATTTTGCAAATTTAACACAGGACCACCAGTGTWTCTGACAAATGGTCCCGAAACATGTCCTTAAGCCAGTCGACCAAGGAGGACCTCTTTCCTAGCAAGCCACAGAGAGCCGCCTGTGTCTCCATGCTGTCTCCTCCACACACACAAAAAATTGCAATCTTCGTCCACGAGTTCATAGACTACCTTTTGAATTTTTCTGAACCCCCCCCCCCCCCCCCCCCAATTTCTGACCAATCACGCAATACTAGTTCTTTATGGGAGTTGTGCACAGTTCTTGGAGGCAGTGCTAAAATAATAATTTATTTTCATCATAACCACATCAGTGAGGAAAACATTTGGCATATATCATTGCATTTATTTATATTTGCAAACTTTTTACAAAGAGACCACCATTGTTTTTGTGAAATGGGCACACTCCTTCTCTAGCTATCCACACAGGAAGCCCCCTCTATCTCCACGCTGTCTTCTCCACGTAGGGAAAATGTTTGGGACTTCTTATAAATATAAATATAAATATAAATTTTGGCTTTGTCTAATTCCTGGAACCTACAAATCGAAAGCTAGCATAATGGTAGATGGTTGTAATATTTAAAGCCATTTGGCTCACAAACAGTAAGTTCAATTTATTTTTTATCTAAACTAACAAGCTAACATCACATGTCCCTGTCAAGGGTTTCACAAACAAACAATATGTCACCTACTGTTTGCTTCAGCCTGGAGAGACATGAGATGATTTTTGATCTAGTCTGAAGTTCCAAGGAGAAGTGGAGTTATGGTAACCTTCATGTTGCAACCGCCATCTTGTGCGATCTAGAAATGCATCATACTCAGTGTTGCTATAGATTTCTTTTTAGGTTTCTTTTACAGTTTATTCTATTTTTAATTTTGAGTTGACTGTCAGATGGTGCAGACGAACACCTTGATCCTGAATTGTTAACCGTTTCTTTGGAACAACCCAACATGTGCAGCTGTTGTCACAATATCCTGCAGGCAACCAGAAGCTGCAGCTGGAGCTTTGACCTTGCTGCTGGGAAAAATAAAAATAAAAAAGCACCTTACAGCAACTAATGTCAGTTTTAGAGGGAAAAACATGCATTCAAGCTGCAGCAGTTTTACTCATGTCCTTTTTAGGATCAACTAATACATCATATCAGCTGATATAAAATAGATTACGTGTGATATTACTGTTTAACAGTGAAATTAAAAAGTGAGCATTAGTTACAATGTAAACATTTAATCAGACCCTAAATGAGTATTTTTTGAGTATGTTGAAAGGTGTGAATGTATCATTTGTACATAAAATGTAAACAGATGTGGGACTCGGTTGTCTTTAGAGTATATTTAAACTTTTAAAATGAGTGACTGTCTTGAGTCCAGCAGGACACACTTCTGTACAAGATGGAAATATAAAAAATATCGAGGCACTAAACTTCAAACAGCAAAGATCTTTTTAATTGGGGTTCTGTGGAAAGTTTATGAACTATTAATATCTTCCTAATAACAACTGTTGTACATAGCTTTTTTGGCCAACCTCAGTTTGGAGAAAAGTGTGAATCATTTTGTCCTTTAAGTGCATCTGAGTGGTTTAGGTACTTTTATACACAGCATCATGCATCAGGCACTCTGGATAGATTTAGGTTGAGACGAGGAGCAAAATCATCAAGATCAGAGCAACAATATACTATGGTATTTTCTATACCCAGATCATTAGCTCATCAACCCTTTTTCCTTACAGTTAGTTAATTAAAACATTAAAGACCCTTCCTTTTCGTAACGCAACACGTGTAATAGAATATCTATTTTGTTGTGTTGTTGACTTTGTTATATTTAGATTTTTGTTACATTGTTTTTTTTCTCCTTTACAATACAGTTTTTGATTTGCAACTTTTTTAAACAATTGTGCATGAGAAGGTAATATGGAAATGTACATATTTTTACACTGTTTATATTGTTTGGTTACTTTGTCCTGTCACTTATCATAATTAACTAAAATCACAAAACTATTCAGTTATGAAAATTAAATTTTAATTTAATTAACTTTTATTTTACCAGGCAAAACATTAAGAATAACTTCTTATTTACAATGCCAAGTAAAAAAGTATCCGTATCAGCATCATCGGTATTAGAATTAATATTGGCATCAGTATCAGCTTCAGTGTCTGTATCAGGATCGATATCTATATCGTTGTTAGTATTGGTATTTTTATCAACATCAGAATTTATAATGACATAAGTGTCCATATTGACATCGGTATCGACACCAGTCTCTGAATTGGTGGTACCAGCCCTGCATMTACTTGCTATCAGATCATTACATTGTCCTAGTATCTCCCGCGCCTAATAGAAAAGATGTGAAATGTCTCTTCAYGAACATGTTCTGGTTGTTTTTACGAGACAATGTTCTTAAAAATTCACTTGAACCACATCTGAACCGAATATATTCAACACAAGTTTGCCTCGTGCTATCTACATGTCAGTTGTTTTTTTTTTCTAAAGCAGCACCCATTTTGTGTCGAACCGTCTCATCATCGCCGATCCGTTCTCCACCTGTCACACAGACGTGTATAGGAGCTCCCATCTTCCTCCTCCTCCTCRTCATCTATTCCCTCAGCCTGACTGCCGGAGGAGCGGCAATCCAATGCTCGCCACGTCACTTAGGCTTTCAGGCATGCATTTGATCCCTGTGTAAATTGCTTTCCCCTCAGATAAGTTACCTCACTGACATGTAGATAGGGGGAACTGTAACTCCTCAGAGATTGCAGGTGGAAACATTTTATTAGACACGGAGGTGCTTTTGAAGCGAAAAATCCTCAAATTGCTTCCCCTTTATTTTCATTTGCCTCGTCTTTAAGTCAGGGACCAACTAGTTTGAGTGTTTCCCCATTGAAACCAAACTAAAACCTCTCTTTGTGGCTCCTGAGTGTTAGAAATWGCTCATTTTGTCACTCAGTGTGAGAATTTCTGATTAACGGTCAGCTTTCAGTTGTTTTTTTTGTTTTTTTTTTCTTTCTTTGCCATCCAGGACTGTTGCCTGAATCTCAAATTAATCATGACCTGCTGGTGTAATTCTCTTTGAATGTATTGATTCCTTCCCTCTGATTTTCAGACGCCAGTTTGGTAACAGTATACGTGTGCAGGGCAATATAATATCAGACACTGGCCATGCTTTTTTTTTCATTACTGTTGAATAAAAGAGAACGATTCCAGATACGATCGCTTTTCTTATTTCTGGCTTTTTGGGTCAAAGGTCAGCTGAAGTCTTGAACAAATCAATAACCAAGATAAACTTGTTTTATCTCTGTGACTTCTGAACATACCTTTCATTTCTTTCTGTRGTGACTTCATAAATCACATGAAAGGCATTTCTTCCTGCGAGACACTTTTAACTCAGATGTTTCATTTTTTTCTTTTTATTGTTAATGCCATGGTTGTTTTTAAGTGAAGTTCTATGAAATATCTGCAAACGATAATATCTTACCTGCTGCAGATTGCCGATGAGCTAATGGCTAGTCCAACTAGTTTAGAGATCTGTAACCTTTACAATTACAAGGGCTACTTATTTATTCCCTTTGGTTCATTAATAAAATGTGTCCAGAGCTGCACAACTGTGACTATCAACTGGTGGCTCATGGGCCACTTTATGTTTGTTGAAGGGGTGGGTAATGGCCAATGGGGGTGACCTATTATAAAATTGAAAATATATAGTGAATTTGAACATTTAACATTTTTTTGCCACTTCAGTAGAAAGCAGAACTGAATATCTGAATATTAGTATCTTAGCTTCTTCATTATCAGTGGCTTTTTTAATATGAAAAAAAGAAAGAGGAAAAAGTTGAAATGTAATGAGAGAGTGAATGAGAGATTAGAAGATATGTGAAATATATGTTGAGAAAACACAAAACAGCACACCCGACTTCTTGGCTCCACACCTACAAAAACAAAGATAGCAAAACCACAGCAACAAAAATCATATCTATATAATTAAAATGACTATAGCCTTGCTGAAAACCATACCCATATAGATATATAAATTTATACATATACACATAAACATACCCATATTTACATATCCATATACTTTCGTATGTATGTATGTATGTATGTATGTATGTATGTATGTATGTATGTATGTATGTATGTATGT